CCAGTTTTACAAGGACATAAAATAGGCAGCTGTTTGGAGCCAGACATGATGGCACACACCCATCCTCCCAGCATTCAGGAAGCTGAGGCAGGAGGATCACTATGAGTTTGAGGCCAGCCTAGGCTACTGAGTTCACTCCATCCTAAACTACAGAGTGAGAGCCTATCTACAAAAAAGGAAAAATAAAAATGAAAGGCAGCCGCTGACTTGCCTGAATTTCAGGGACAGTAGATGGTGGTGGTGGTGGTAAGAGCTAGCGTAGACTGTACCCGCTATGCGTCAGGTATTGTTCCAAGCATTTTAAGTAGGTTAACCAGTTTAGCTGTCACGGCAGCCCTGAAAGGGACAGATTTCATGATCCCCCAGAGCTAGTTATCCAAAGTCACAAGGAGAATGGGTGGTCAAGTCAGGAACTGAAACCAGAGCAGGGATGTTTTAAATTTACACTTTTCCCACTGAAGTTTTGATCATTTTAGTCTCTAAAATAAACTGACAACAGACAGATAAGAGGGAAAAGAGCATGCAGGTTTTATTGTGTGGCTAAGCAGGGCTACACACCTCCAAAGGCCTGAGGCTTGGGCATCTGGGTGGAAGGAAGGTGGCACAGGCTATGGGAGTTTGGGGACAGGAGGCACATAGGGATCCGCACGTGCGCCAACTCTGTCTGTGCCAGGTGTCGCCATCCTGTGTGCCTGTGAAAATTCCCCTACTGGGCAGACACGGCCAGGGAGCATCAGACAGAAACACATCTGGCTGCAGCCACTGGCTGCTCACCTAAATAGATGCCAAGGTCCTTCCAGCAGCCTGGGGTGTGGCTCAGCGGTGAGCCCCTGCCCAGCATGTGTGAGATCCCAGTGGGGAAAAGAAAAGAAAAGGAAGATGGAAAGCATTTACTGACAGCCTCCTATGCAGTGGCTGCCAGAGTCCATACTTTTTAGACCCAGTTCCACTCAGTCTTGTAAATTAGGTCTCATTATAGTCCCTGCTTGGGGGCCTGGGAGCATAGAGAAGTTAAATTGTCATCCTTAAGGTCACCCAGTTGTGAAATCCTAGGGCTCCTTGGGTGTGGTGGCGCAGGCCTGTAATCATAGCACTTGGGAGGCTGAGTCAGGAGGATCACCCTAAATTTAAGGCCCAACCTCAGCTGCACAGTGAGTTCAAGACCAACCTGAACTACATAATGAGATCCTGTGTCAAAAAACAAAACAAAAAATCCTGGGGCCTGGATTCAAAGCCCGGTGACACTGCAGAGTCCTGATGAGAGACTAAGGATGCATTAGGGTGCTCCTAGGCTGGCCAGGCTGTGACTCATGGATCAGCTGAGCGTGGGCAGGCATGACAGGTGGCGATCAGACGCCTCCGGCCGAAGGTGCACTGAATGTTCCATGGTAAGAAACACAGACTGGATGGGGGGGGGGGTGTCCAATCATTTTTTTTGTCCTTTAAAAGCATTGTTTAGGGGGAAAACCAAGGCATAAAAGTTACAGGAAAAGGTTATTAAAAAGTCACAGACACTTTATAGGGCTTTTAAAAAAATAGGTGATCCTTTTCCTATTGAAACCGCGCCCAGCAAGGTCATTGTTAAAGAATAAGAGAGAGCCGTGAGGTAAACCAGAAGAACAAGGGCCAACACACGCTCAGATCGAGCCACATTCATCTTGAAACGGTCGCTAACATTTTTATTTCGTCGGTGAGCTCTCCGACAGAGCCCTAAGGCGACTACTGAAAAGCTCCGGCTTTTTAATAGCTTCCAACTAGCAGGCCCCGGAACCGAAAGGGGAGCAGCGGACGGTGCGGATCCAGAGGCTTCCGCTGCTGAATACAAATGTGTGCTCGGGACAGAGGCAAAACACCCAGGAGCCGGAACTTTTCAGACAGCGGGCTTGTATTGTCAGAGCGGCCTGTGCCCCTCCTGATCCGCACTGCTGCACAAATGAAAACGACTGGCAATTAGGTGCAAACGCCTGTAGGGGAGGAACAGGGACAGAGAGAAGAACCTCGCAGAGCCTTTATTTAGAGCTAGGGCTGAGCCCTATTCGCTGCTGTGTGAATTGGTGTCGTCTTTTAGAGAGGAATTTAGAACGTGCTGACACTTTGACGCAGGGATTGATCTTATAGCAATACTTGCATATGTATATGCATATAGAAGAAATATCTATACACACAGATGCTTAGTGTAGCACTGGGTGCATGTGTAAAAATGAAAAATAGGGAATGGGTACAGCTCAGGGGCAGAGCAGTTGCATAGTATGTGTGAGGCCCTGGGTTTGATCCTTAGTCCCAGAGAAAAATGGAAAAGAGGGGGAGAAGGAGGGGAAGGGGGAGGGGGAGTGGGGAGAGGAAGGGGAGGGGAGCAGGAGAGGAGGAAGAAGAAGACGAGGAGAAGGAGGAAGGAGCCACCTAGAAATAATTTGTAACCATCAATATGCAAATGTTTAAACAATCCATGGCATATCTGTATTCTAGGAAAATTCGCTTCAATGAACAGAATGAGATAGAGCCGTACATTCTAACACGAGAAGATGCTGCTAACATGGGCTGGGGGTGTAACTCAGTGGTAAGCGCTTGTCTAGGCTGCACAAGACCCTGAACTCAATCTCCCACGCTGCAAAAAAATGTCCTGATAAATTACCTGGCGAGGGCAGGGGGAGGAAATTGCAACAGAGCATCTATCATAGGCTTCTATTCTAAAATGTTTCTAATGTTAATATATTCATTAAAAATATCTGGAGGACTATGTACCCAAGATCAGCCTTGAGTACCTCTGGGGGATCATACACATATTTTGTAACGTTTACGTTTTTATAAGCACAAATTCCTTTTGCAGATAGGGGGAAAGAGAGTTTAAATAGTTCCTTAGGGAAGAAAGAGGATTGCAAAAGGCAGCAAAGGCTGGTCACATGGTTTTTTCCACCCTCCGTGCAATCTCCCTGGGCCTGGACTCCAGCGATGCAGGCGCAGTTGGTTAACACTGCTGCCAGGGGCGACACCCACCGCGTCCGCTCCCTCCTGCCTTCCTGCTCTGTCTCCTGGGGACCCTGGGTGCTGCTCCTGATGAGCTTCGCTGATGGCTTAAATACCGCTTATTTCCCATGCCCCCTCCAAGCCATTTCAGAAGCATGGACCACGGGAGGGAGCCTGGCTTGGGGAGTTAATGTGGCTCTAGATCCAAATTCCAGCGTTACTTTTCTCCTGATCACTGGGAAATTTGCTTCTTCTTTTAGAGTCTCTGTTTCCTGGTGTGAAAACTGATGACCATCTTAGAGAACCTGCCTCAGTAGTGTCTTTGTAATGTTGCAAAGAAGTAAATGTAAAAAGTACTTCTTGGGCATAGGCAATGCTTAGTAAGTGATACATTGTTGTGCTGTTGTTGTTGTTGTTGTTATTATTATTTCTAGTAGTGGAACCTAGGCCCTCACACAGGCTATGCATGTGCTCTACCACAGAGCCACAGCCCAGCCCGGCCTTGATACCTTTTTTCTTTTTGGTGACAGGGTCTTGTTCTGTAGTTCAGGCTGGCCTTGAACTCATGGTGATCCTCCTGCCTCAGCCTCCCAAGTGCTAGGGTTACAGGTGTGTGCCACCACACCCAGCTAATACCTGTTATAACTGTCACCAAGACCTATCCATTCTTCTGTGGTAGAATCTCTCCCATCTATTTTCTTCCCAGCCTTGGAGACCTGGCTCCAAAGCCAACATGATGGCCATCGTGTCCTCACGGTCTGTTCCCAACACAGCAGACAGGACTGGTGAACATTCCTTTACCGGAAGCACTGGGTGCCATGTTCATTTCTGCACACTCTCTCCTGATTTGCTTGTGTCTCCTCAGTAGACCCGGGGCTCATGAAGGTAACAATTCTGATCTATTCATTGAAAAGTCCTCAGCATCTACCCAGAGTGTGAATCCCAGTAATCACTTTTCCACTTGAACTAATCTCTTTCATTTCTGCTCTTCCACCAGACTCGGCCAGCGTGTGTCCCCAGTGGCATTATGGGGACGGCTTCCTAACTGGACTCCCTGCTTTTTGTCCGTCCGTACCCACCAAGGTTACACTTGAGCCTAACAGGTCCCTGCTCGAAGCCTTCGAGAACAGAATGAAACTGCACAAAGAGCTCCTGGTGGAGCCAGCCCTGAGTTTTAGCTCCAGTTTTGCCACAAGCTTGTGCAATCCCAAGCACATTGCTTTACCTCCCCGACTTGGCTCCATCTGGAAAATGGGGGCACTAAAGAGGTACCACGAGCAATGCGTGAGAAAACTGTTAGCTATTACTTCCTCCTTCTTCTTTTTTGACAGTGATGGGACTGGCACCCAGGGCCTTACACAAGCTGGTCTAATGGTCTATCAATGAGTTATACCCTCAGCCCTAGCCTTCTTTACCTCCTCCCTTCCCTCTCTCTCTCTTTCACTCTCTCTCTCTCTCTATGTCTTTATTCCTGTCTCTGTCTCTGTCTCTGTCGCTCTAGCTCTAGCTCTAGCTCTAGCTCTCTCTTTCCCCGCCCCTTCCTCTCTCCCTCTTTCTGTTTTATTTTGAGAGGAGTCTCATGATGTTGCCCATGCTAAGTTGCAGCCTCAGGCCCGCAGTGCGCTCCTCCAACCACCAGGGGCCGCTGCAAAGCCCTCGCTCTCGCATGCGCAGGAGAGCGCGGTCTCTCTGCGTGCGAGGCGCGTGCGTGCGGGGGCGGGGCCAGAGGCGGAAGCGAAGCCGGCGTGGCCGCCGTCTGCTACCCCGTCGTAACTTCTGTCTTACTGTCCCGGGCTGCGGGCAGCCCCGGCGGGTTCCTCGGTGTTCCCCCTGTGGTGTGGGCTGGGCTCCAGCCCGGGTCTTCCCGTCCCTGACCCGCTCGCCCCGCCCCATGGCGCTGCAGAGCTCGGGAGTGGCCTTCCGCAGGATCCTGTCCCATTTCCCCGAGGAGCTGAGCCTGGCTTTCGCCTACGGCTCCGGGGTGTACCGCCAGGCCGGGCCCAGTTCAGACCAGAAGGTGAGCCCGGCCTCGGGGCCGGACCTCCCGTGCCGGAGCGGCTTGTCTTCCGAGTCCCCTTGTTCCCACATGGGCCCTTCCAGCGTGCAGCCGAGTGTGACAGCGGCTCTAGGCGAGTCCCAGCCCCCGGTCCAGGAGTTGGCACCCAGGGCCCTGGCGTTGAGCTGCGTCCCAGAGTGTGAAAGCTGCGTCCCTTTTCACTTTTGCTTTTGAGACGGGGTCTGGCTGCATTGCCCCGCCTGGGCTCGGACTTGGGATCCTCCCGTCCCCGCCTCCCAGAGTGCTGGGATTACACGTGTGCGCGACCACGCTTGGCTTCCTCTTAAAATTTAAGTGTCATCGGTGGTTTGTGGATCACGGAGTGGATGGGCCTTAGCCTGTGGATGGCCGCTGCATCATTTTTCACTGAAGGTTTTCCTTTGAGCAGATCCGAAAATCGTCCAAAAAGAGACCTTTTCTTCGTTTTCGTTCCCTACGTTCAAGTTAACAGTTCTTGTATTCAAACACTGAAATCTCTCATTCAGCACAAAACCTCGGTGCCTTAGCTGGTACCTTTCCCTCACCTAGAGTTGTGTAAGATTTCTTCCACCCTTAATCTCTGCTGCCTCTGCTCAGCACTTCGCAGGGAAGTTTCTTAGCTTGGCTAGCACCTCCCTCAGATCCACCGTGTAAGTCTTCCTTTCCACCAGTGTCAGCGGGGCTCCCCTGAGCGCATGAGCAGGTTCCCTGACATGACTCCCTGCTCTGCCTGGTCCCCAAAGACTTCTACGCATGCATTCTGCAGGGCATACGCTTGTGATCGCCAGAAAAATTTCTCTTTCGTGTTCCTGGATCAGTCATTCATTCCGAATGAAGTTAGTTCACTATGCATTCGTCTTCCAGTTCAGTTTAGTAATAAATTGTGTCTCCTGCCCAATTCTGAGCTTCCAGGCAAAACTTAGCAGAGTCGTTTGAGCTATGCACCAGTGCTTAGGGAGTGGCTTATCTCCCTTTACTGACAGCTATAGAGTTTGCCCAACTGAGTTAGTTTGATCTGGAAGCCAAGTGGAGCACCTTTCCTACTTTCAGCTGAAAGGCAGTGTAGCAGAAGGGCCCAGCACACAGGATTTGGGGCCACTGTACTTAGGGCTGCCACTCAGTACCTCTGCATCCTTGGGCCAAGCGCTAATCCTGAGCTTTGTTTTTTTTGTGTGTGAAGTAGGGCTAATGGTAGACCTGCTTTTCAGGATTGTTTTAGAGATAGAATGCGTTACCCTTTTATATGGAAAGCCTCTAAAAGAATCCTGGCACAATGCACATTAAGTGTTTGATGTCACCATTGATGAAAAGAAAGCTCTTGTTGGTCCCAGAGGCTTGCTTAAGTTTCCATTGCCAAACCTAGGCCTTCTGTTAATCGTAGTAGCTAAGTATTTCAGACCTCTCATTTAGCAGCTTTTCTGAGGTGTGTGACCTCATTTTCGACAGAATGCCATGCTGGACTTCGTGTTCACTGTAGATGACCCAGTTGCGTGGCATTCAAAGAACTTGAAGAAGAATTGGAGCCACTACTCTTTCCTAAAACTTTTGGGGCCCAAGATGATCACCTCTGTTCAGAATAACTATGGCGCCAGAGTTTACTACAATCCATTGATCCTCTGCGACGGTAGGGTAAGTGACTGGCTCTTTGCCTTAACTTGGGTTTGTTCTGTCTCTGATAGTAGAACGCTGGTGAGGTGCAAGCGATGGACTCCTCTCCTCCCCCTTGACTGTGATTGCAGTTTGAGAAGTGGTTGGCTGTGACTGACTTTATTTTCTGCCCTTTCATGAAGTGGTTCTCAAATTGTAACCTCCTGGACACATGAACTGCAGGTCTGTACTCTAGGGTTTCTTATTTGCTGTAGTAGCTGCAGAGTTTGATTTTCTTTCTTTCTTCTTTTGTTTTTTGTTTTGTTCCTTTGAGACAGAATGTTGATATGTAGTTGAGGCTGGCCTGCAAGTCATCTTGAACTGACTGTGTAGCCCAAGCTGGTCTCAAATTCAAGGCCATCCTCTTGCCTCAGCCTCTGGAGTGCTGGGATTACAGGTGTGCGTCATCACTCCTGGCTGGAGATTTGATTTTCTAACCAACTTCCAAGTGATGCTGCCGTTGCTGGTCTGGGAACCATGCCAAGAACCACTGCATTGGGCAGTGTGAGGAACAGGCTCTTCCACTGAGGGGCAGGAGGAGATGAATCTTGTCTAGAAGGAGGAGCGGACACCCTGAGGAGGAATTTGGTAGTTAGCCAGCTACGGGGTGGCTGGAAGCAAATTTGACAGAAAGGTGTTGGAGAGAAATTAAGGGGCATGGGGGTTGCCTGGCAACATGCACCCCCCCCCCCCCGTGCTTTAGATGAAGCTCCCTGTGGCTGGGGCGGCCCTGCATAGCCAACTAAGTGTGGCCCACTGGTCAATAGTAGAGTGCTTGCCTGGGATGCGCTGCGACCTGAGTTTAATCCCCAGCACTGCAGAAAAAACAAAGCAGACCGAGGCCCAGGCACCAGCAGGACCTAACTCAGATGCCTCCTGGAGGTGAGGCAGGCTAGGGTGGCATCCGTGCCCTACCGCTGTGCCAACATTGTTGCTGGTCAGAGCCTCTCTTTGTCCATCTGCCTTGTGTGGATGAGGAAACCAGTCTTCGAAGGAGGACCAGTCCAGTCCAGCAGCCTCTCGGCCTGTGGTGTTTCCATCGGCTGCTGTCTGCCTGGCCCCTCTTTAGTCCTGGGGCCAGGCAGGAGGGCAGAGGTAGTTACTGAGCACAGCCCGCCGCTTCCGCCACACAGAATGCAGAGTTGTGTTCTTCCTCTGTAATTATTTTTCTTTTTTGAGACAGGGTCTTGCCACGTAGCCCAGGCTGGCTTCCAACTCACTGCAATCCTCCTGCATCAGCTCCTAAGTGCTGGGATTACGGGCGCACACCACCACACCTGCCCTCCGTGACTAATAGTATGCTGAGTTTATCTCTAGTAATTTTCAAACAGTATTATAAGCTCCAGTGAGCAAATATTTAGGCATTATCATATGTCACCAGGGCTTTGTGTTTTAATGTTTTATTCCTTAGCTACTTTTTAGGTATTTACAGCCCAAGGAAGCTATTTTGATACTGAAATTTAGCAAAGTGGGTCTGAAGACATTTGTTTGCGCAAACAAGACTTTGTAACCTGGGAAATCTACTTCTCGGGTTTGTGCACATTGTTATGGAAATGAACCTGACTGTAATTCCATGTGTTTAGCATTGATAAAAATGTTTTAGTTTTGGATGTTGCTTTGTAATTATAAATATTTTAGAGTCAACAGCAGCAGAGAAATTAGCTGTGAAGGATGTCAGTGAAAACTTTTAATTAAAGAAACTTTCTGGTACTTTGTAATGAAAGGGACATTGGATAACCAGACTGAAGTTCTAAGAGCTGGGTGTGGGGGTGATAAGATAGAGTTCCCTACGTTGCTCTTCCTGGGCTGAACTGAACCCTTGGGCAGTCCTCCTGCATCAGCAGTCCTCCTGCTCAAGCAGCCCTCCTGCATCAGCCTCACAAGTAGCTGAGCCCGCAGAGGCCTAGAACTGCACCCAACTTAGACCTAGTTTAATTCTGCCATGTCCGGTGCCACAGTAAGCTTATTATTTACTCTTTCTGGGCCTTATTTTCTTATTTCTAAAATGAGGAGCATTAACTAAATTCTTACTTCTCAGACTGTGGGGGAAATTACTGGTTTGTTTCCTTGTGGTCCATGAGGACCGGTACTGGATGGAGTCCAGGAGCCCTTCTGCCTTAACATCACCTGGACCTACATTAAGGTCCTTACCTAACCTCACGTGCCTTGGGGGCCAGGCTGGTCTTGGGGTTTCTGATGGAGGGGGAGCTTTCACAGTTAGGTTTTTCGAGTTTTGTTGTTGTTTTTAGTTTTTGAGACAGAGTCACTATGTAGTTCAGGCTGTCCTCGAACTCACTATGTAACCCAGGCTGGCCTCAAACTTGCAGAGATCCTCCTGAGTGCTGAGACACAGGTAGGCATTTTGAGCGGCTGTGGAAATCAAGGTGCTCGCTGGTCAGGACTTTGGTTTCTGTCTTTGCGTCTTACATTTGTGTAAGCAGCAGCCTGGTGTTGTGCTCTTTTTCATGTCCGTATCTTTCCTCTCCAGCTTATCAAGTATGGGGTGATTAGCACCCGTGCTCTGATTGAAGACCTGCTTGGCTGGAATAACTTGTACATCGCTGGCCGCCTCCAGAAACCGGTGAGTGAGTGCTCGTGCTTTCTGGTGCCCATCGCCACAGAGCCTGGTCCTGTGACTGCCCTAGGGTGGGGCTCTGGGGAGTGGGAATGGGTGTCTGTCCTCTCTCCCCAAAAGCCATCAGCAGATGATGCTCTGTGATACTGTGACACGATAAAAGTGTGCTTGGTCTTTCCCTCGTTTCCTGGCACAGAGCTCCTACACCCTCGGCATTCCCGAGGGCTGCCGTGTCCCTTTCAGCTACACCTGAGCTCATGTTTGTACTAGTGAGGTGTCTCTGCTTTGTTTTGTTTGCTGCTTTTGTTTTTTGTTCTGTTCTGTTGTGTTTTTGTTTTTGGTCTTTTTGAGACAGGGTTTCATATGCAGTTCAGGCTGGCAATGAACTCACTTTGTAGCCCAGGCTGGTCTCAAACTGGAGACGATTCTCCTGCCTCAGCCTCCCCAGTGCTGGGATTACCAGTGTGTGCCACCACGCCCGGCCTTTTGTTTTTTTGTGTGTGTACATTGCTGAGCGGGGAACCCAACGTCTTGCACATGCTAGGCTGCACCCCAATAGCTTTAGGATAAGGACTGGTTTCCCCTGGAACCACCTGGTGAAGGGAGGGTTGAGCTCTCAGTCCTAGCTCCCTTCCTTCCCACGTTGGGTAATGCACCTGCCTTAAAACGACAGGGCTTGCAGGGTTGCCATGCTGTGAGCTTAGTGCCCTTATCATGGCCCCAGGACCTGACGCTGGTGAGTCCAGTGGCTTCCTGAGCACAGGGAGCCTTCAGGCAATGACCACCCAGAAGGAGGTGCTGCAGATCCCCTGTTCACAGCTGCCCAGCGGGTATGGCCTGAGCTTCCTCACTGTGCTGGGCGGTGGCGCCAGGTGGATGTGTCTGCCTGGACAGTGCTCGCGGGGTGTGCGCTGCTGAGTGAGGAGCTGGGGCAGCGATGGCGAGGGAAAACCGCACTCACCTGGCAACAGAGGAAGTGCTGGGAGGGAGACGGCCGGTGCCCGCACTCAGGCCCCCCAGTGGCCGGGGGAGGTGGTGCGGGTGCTGGGGTGCCGTCAGCGCGCGCGGTGTCATGGGCACACAGAGCAGCGGGGTCCATCAGGGCTGTGCGCACCCTCTGGCTCCAGAGGGACCTCATGGGGGAGACTGGGGGAAGCAGCTGCCCCTGGCTGTGAAGACACAGAAACCAGGGAAAAGTGGAGAGCACTCGAATTTACCTAATCTCACTTCCCAAGGAAAACGTGGTGCACTGTCAGACTCTCAGGCTCCAGAGTACTGGGGTTCTTCTCAGGTGTCCCCTGTACCAGCGACTCCTCACTGCTTTTTTATGCTTAGCGGAGAGAGGGGAGATTAGAGAGTTTCGCACAACCTACGCCCGCTTGGCCTGTGTCAGTGAGCCCTCTGTACTGCTTTGTATGCGCTGTCAGGAGCCCCTGGCCGTGCGGCTTGGGGAAAAGGAAGTCCAAGCTGGCGGCACTGTGACTCGGTCTGGGGTCGAGTGGGTCTGGGGGCTGTGAAGTCGGAGCGAACAAGCCCAGCGCAGGGTGCCTCCTAGTGTAACTAACCGGTATAACCAAGGTCTGTGCGAGCATGCAGCCACTATGCCAGGCTGTCCCCAGGCCTACTGAGGGGCAGAGGACAGGCACAGGAGCGGCTGGACAGGCGGACCATGGCCAGCGACTGGGCGGCGGGGCTGGTAAGGTGAGCTGAGCTGCGCAGCTGAGGATAGACACGTCAGACTCCTCCCAAGTGAACGTCCCCAGTTCGAACTGGTGACAAGACACATCGAAACTTCAAACCCAGGCTGGAAAGCTGAGGCTGAGGCAGGAGGATCACCATGACTTCAAGGCTAGGCTGGACTATACAGTGAAACCTTGTCTCAAAAAAACAAAAACAAATTGAGGTTGGAGATGTGGCCGGGTGGTGACCACTTGCATAACATAAACAAGGTGCTAGGTTCCATCCCCAGCACCAGCACATAAAATAGTGTAGCTCATTAAAATGTCGAAAACATATATATATGCATTTGTAAAAGTGTAGCAAGCTATGCCCTTCTGATGTATGTGTTTTACTGTTTAAATATTCACTTCAGTAAAAACTTTTTTTTCTTGTTTGCAGCACTAGGGATGAAACCCAGGGCCTCACACGTGCTAGGCGAGTGCTCACAACCGAACTACACCCCAGCCCAGTAAAAACACGTTTTAAACGCTCCAGAAACAATGTGCTTATTGAAATAAGCTCCCACGTCCAGGTTTGATGAGTGGCAAAGCTCATAACTGAGCAATTAAATGCACCTGAAAATTTGTAAATGTTTTATTTCTAAAGTTTTTTTAAAAAATTCAAGTTTTTTCATTTTTTATTGCAGTACTATAAATAGAACACAGGGGGCACTCTACCACTGAGCTATATCCCTCGCCCTTTTAAATTTTTGAGACAAGGTCTTAATAAGTTGCCCATTCTGACCCTGACTCAGCCTCCTCAGTAGCTAGGATTCTAGGCCTGCACCACTGTGCCAGCTTCTCCAAGGTTTATGTTGGTTTTTTGCTTTTGTTTTGTGATTTTAGGAATTGAACCTAGGGCTTTTGCACTGAGCTACATCACCAGCCCTTTCATTATTTTTATTTTTTATTTTGAGACAGGGTTTTGCTAAGTCAGTAAGTTCCCCAGGCTGGACTCAAGCTTGCAGTCCTCCTGCCTCAGCTTCCTAGGGTCCTGGGCAACAGGTATGCACCACCACACCTGCTGCAAGGTTCTCTTAAGTTTACAAAATGTGTAAGTTGGTAGGAAGGGAAATGAACGTTGAGTTAAAAGCCTTAGGTCATCTTATTCCTGCCACTTCGTAGCTGTTTAGGTGAACTTCCGCAGTGGCCTCGTGTGTGGAGTCGGGGTAACAGCACTTGCCCCGCCTGTGCCGGAAAGGCGCTGACAGCCGGAAGGGGCGGTGACTCTGGAGAGAGCACGTGACCAGAGCCCGACAGCCGGGGGCCAGAGCGCGGGCTCGCCCGGCCCCTGCCGGTCCTGTCCCCTCGTCACCCACATCTCGGGACGCTGTCCACGCATGAGGGGCTGAGGCACCGTGCTCAGACGCGGAGGACACGTCCCCTTCTGCCCCTGGCTGTCTCAGTGATGTTGAGACAACATGAGACGGACTTGAAGTTTTCAAAAATTTTAAAACTAGGTTTTAGAAACCTGAAATGCCGTGAAATCTTGGTTTTTTTTTTTGTGGTTTTGGCTTTTCGGTGGTAGTGTGGGATTTTTCTTGTGTGTGTGTGTGTATGTGAGTGGAGGTTGGTCATGGCTATGGAACCGGGTACCTATGCACACCCCCACCGCTGACCTCAGACTTTACCCAACTTTGTTCCTATAGGAGAAAAATAACTAAGGACGAAGAGGATCAGCTCTGTTCATATTAGGCAAAACCATGTGCGCTTCTCAGTTAACTCAGAAAAGAAAACACTACTGAGAACAGTCGTTATCTCTGATGTTTATTAAGCTTCTAGACAGGAAAATTAGGTGAGGAGCTGTGGTATAACTCAGTGGTACAACACATTTAGTGTGTGAGACCCTGGGCTCAATCCTCAATGCCCGAACAAAGCAGAAAAGGAAAAATTGGTTTCTCTGTCAGAAAAACTGAAGCTGACGCGTGGCTATTCCCAGTCCTGTCCCAGCTTGCCCACTGAAGTGGGAGACCTCTCAGCCACAATAGTCAAATGACTCTGACCTCTAGGTGGCAGCAGATACTCATCAGCCGAGCAAATCCCGTGAAAAGGGACATGGCCTTTCCCTTTCTTTTCCTCTTTCTACCTCTCTTTTATTTTTCTTTTCTTTTTACAAGGTAGTAGGGATTGAACGCAGAACCTCACGTGTGCCAGGAAAATGCTGTGCTCCTGGGCTGCATCCTGGCCCTTTTAATTTTGATTTTGAGACAGTATGTTGCTAAATTGCCCTGGCCTGGAACTTGGGATCCTCCTGCTTCAGCTTCCCTCGTAGCTGGGATTATAGGTGTGCGCCGCCGTGCCGGCTCCCGTGAGAGCATGAGAAGGAATTATGAGAACATGCGTGTGAGTTGCTTTTGTGTTCTCGGAGTCATGACATTGCCCGAAGTGCCAAAATTGTCTGCATCTTGCAAATTCAAGTCAGATTTCCCAATCACTAGCCAGTTAAGTCTTTAAAAGGAATTAAGAGCATTAGAAAGGAATTAAAGTGGTTAAAAAGACAGATATTTCTGGGGAAAGTTGAATGTAATTAAGTTGTAGTGTACTTTACTATCTGCTTACCCCATGGTTGAGGAGATGCCAGGTTTGTTTCTAGGATCACCCTCATTCCTGAGTCACAGCGTGCACGCGTGAGAGAGAGAGAGAGAGAGAGAGAGAGAGAGAGAAAATGTGTGTGTGCTCGCGCACGTGTGCCTGTGTGCAGTGCTGGGAAGGTCACCACTGAGCTACAGCCCACGCCTTACAAATGCTTCTTAACAAACGTGGAACTTAAAGTATTTACTAGAACATGGTGGAAGTCCTTTGTAAATAAAAAAAAAAAATCTAAAGTAATACAGTTAGTTTCCTGGTTAATTTACCTAACTTTGGATTTTTTGTATTTCACATTGTTTTCCGTGTGTCAATAATTTTGCTTGTGTGTGTGGCTTTAGTTTGGTTGGATTCTTTTCCTTTTTTACATCAGACTGGAGGTGTCGCTGCATTGCCCAAGCTGGTCTCCAGCAGCTGCAATCCTCCTGCCTCAGCCACACAACTGCCGGGAGGGCTTGTTTGAATCTTTGTTTGTTTGTTTGTTTTTCTTCTGTTACCAGGACTCGAACTCATGACCTTGCGCTTTCCTGGCAGGCGCTTTGCCGCTAAACTAAATCCCCAGCCCTTGTTTGAATCTTAAAAGCATTCACTTTGACTGATATTTCGCCACTTTGTTAAGAGGACTTTAATGTATTCATTGCAATATATTTTCTTTGCTAATCATTCAGCTTGATTTTTTTGTAACAGCTTTATATAATTCACATAGTATATAATTCATCCATTTAAAGGTATACAGTTCCACCCTTTTTTAGTATATTTACAGTTGTGTGACTCTCCCCGTATTGTGGCTTTATTGATTTACATTTTGTAGTCAGAGAAATCCCAGAGTACAAGATGCCCAAATGGCAAGGGGGAACCTCCCTTCCTAGTCTGGGCTTTGCCTCGCTCTCAGCCAGCTGTGGGCTGCAGCCTTTGAAGCGCAGGGCTGGGCTGTTCTCCTCGCCACTGAAAAGACAGTTTCTTCTCTGTGCGGCCAGGTGGCTGTCTTCAAGGAGCCCCGTCCAGCCGGTGGGGGCAGTGGCCCAGCTCTCTGCTTGTGCTTCTTCCTCCTGCAGCAGGGACGTTGGGCACAGCCCCTGTCCTGGCCTTTTGGGTGGAAAAGTTCCAGGCAGTGGTCGAGTATTTCAAAGCTAGGCAGGGTTGCATTCTTTGTGACTAAGACCCTGCTGTTTACAATTCGAGTGGCTCGTCCCTGCCACTGTCACGGCGGAGCTGTGTGTGGCTTTCTCTGTATTCCAGTCTCACAAATCTCTCCTCTGACAATCCCTGCCAGCACTGCCCCTTCCTTGCGGCAGCCAAGACCCTGGCGCGGCATCAGGGCTGTCTGTGCATTCAGGCAGGCGTTCCCAGTGAGGCACAAACAGCTATTCACAATCCCGGGCCCTTCTCCCGGCCTCTGGCAGCACCCCAGGCAAGCACTGGCTTTCCCTCCGCACACAGATCACACTGCTGCCTAGAAAGTTCCTAGCGTGCCTCGCTGGGAGCAGCAGAGCCTCCCCTCCCGGGCCGACGCTTTCCCTTGGAGTGGGGATGCTTGCGTTTGTACTTTCTTAACTTTCAGCAGCAAACGGACTGCCTTTCTACAACCTAGGCTGAACGGCTGTCTTGGAGAACAAGTGGGATTTTGGTTCACTAGGAAAATTCTCCCAAATTTATTCTTTTCTTTGTGTCTTTGACTCGTTAGCATTTCGGAATAGCTGCTAATGTCACTGGGTGTAAAGCCTTGGAGATGAAAAGGGAGAGAGACCGGAACAGGGCGGGAGAGAGAAGAGAGGGTGGAGAGTTACTGAGAAGGACCTGGGAGCCGGGGTGGCGAGGGGAAGTGGGCGCAGAGCGGCGTCACACCGGACAGGGCCCTGGCCTGCTGTGCCGCGCTTCTTTTTGGGGAAAACTGTCAACCTCCCTGGCCTTCCGTTTCTCCATCAGCAGTTGGACTGATTCTATATAGAATACAAGGCTTTGGAAAGTTAATCAAGGAATAAACATAAGACTTATTATAGGACCTTAAAATTGGAGGGCTTGGGGTATAGCTCAGCAGTAGAGCGCTTACTTGCTATATGCAAGGCCCTGGGTTCAATCCCTAGCACTTCCAAAAAGAAAAGGTTTTTTTCTTTTTGTTATAATCATTGGTCAAGATAAAAGTTAAACTGGATGTGCTGTTGCATGCCTGCAATCCCAGCACTTGGGAGACTGAGGCAGGAGAACCACTGGATTACATAGTGTGTTCAAGGCCACCCTGATCCCTGAACTACATAGCGAGACCCTGTCTCAAAAAAAAAAAAAAGAAAAGATAAAAGATAATCAGGCCAGGTGTTATGGCATGCACCTGAAATCCCAGCACTCAGGAGGCTGAAGCAGGAGGATCATCACAAGTTCAAGGCCAGCCTGGGCTACATAGTGAGTTTGAGGCCAGCCTGGTGTACAGTGTGATTTCAAGGCCAGCCTGGAATATATTTAGCAAGACCTTGTCTCAAAAAAAAAAAAAAAAAGAGAAGAAGAGGAAGAAATTAATCAGGATACGTCCCTAACTGAATGTGTGCAAGTCAGTCAGGATACTGAGGAGGTGGTTTGCGGAGTGTGAGGCTGTTCCCATGCCATCTGCCATCCGTTCCCCAGGCCCTCGGGAGGTCGGGCTCCTGGAGGCTCCTTGGTTTTCCTCAGCTGACGGAGAGCACCGAACTCGCAGGTGGGGGAGGCTTCACTGAGCTCTGTGAAGCCCTCGCCGTGGTCTGGCTGGACAGGGAGACACTGAGGGTGCGGCCTGCTGGCCAGATGTGAGTTCCACATGTTACAGGTGTTCCTGCAGGAAGGAAGAACGCAAGGTGAAAGACAGAGTTGGGTTGTTAAGCTTGATTTATACATGTCACATGTCTTTTAGTACTGCTTTCCGTCATTAATAAAAAGAGAAGTTATACCCTGGGATAACATCGTTCTCCTCTCACTTTGGAGTTTCTTACCGTGTGTCCCTCATGTGCCATCTTATTTGTCCTAAGTTACATGTACTTGACAAAGGGCACCTCAGGCCCTGTTTCCTGGAAGGAGGCAGAGTGACTGCCAGCACCACGTGGCCGAGGAGGGGAGGGTCGGCTGCAGACACGGAAGTCCTCTGAGCGCCCGCCAGGCCCTTCCTTCTGGGGACCGTGTCAGTCAGAAGCAGCAGTTGGGAAAAGATTCAGGCAGAATGTGTGTTGGTGACACGGCTGTGACAAGCTGTGCCCTCGGAGTTGTCTGAGGGTGTCCTGAGGCCGCTGCATCTGTACTTCCCGGAACCTTCGCAGTGCATCCTCCACACCCAGACCCCTCGGGCTACACGCTGAGAAACACACCCAGGACACTTGCTTGAGCAAGGGCTCACGTGCAAATCTCATTTCACCTTCCCAGCACACTCCCGAGCTTGACTTTACGCCTTGCTGTCGGCAAGGAGCCGTGCTTGTCTTCACAGAGCTGGGAAGAAGTGGGGCTGTAGAGCCGACTCAGCATGGACTGGAGCTCTCCGTGCGTCACTGGGTGCAGAGAGAGCCAAAGGGCAGCTTTTGCTGGATGTTTAGAAGAAAAATCCTTTGTATTGAATAACGCAGTCAGTTATACACCAGGCATGTCATATTTATCATGTTTGATTTTGTGACAATTGTTTGATGCAAATCAGGTAGCCACATTTTATAGATGAGGACTTAAATTCCGAGGAGTTAAGTAATTTGCCCAAATTCACAGGGCTAGTGCAACAGCTGAACTTGAGCCCAGTCCTGTTTTCCAAACCCATGATTTTTCTGTTAGCCAAGTTTCTTTCCTTTCATTCTTAGTCAAGTTCAACATCAGTGTATCTAAAAATCATGAAATAGAGCATGAGCTGCCCAGCTTATATGTGGGCACGGAGAGAGATGCACCCTAACTACAAAAGTAAAAGCCCTTTTTCCACTAGAAAATTAAGTGAAGAACAATGGAAAAAATATAAGATTTTAAAATATTAAAGTTCCTGAAGGACTTTCTTAAAGCCTGTGATGCCAGATGTGGTGGTGCATGCCTGTAATCCCAGCACTCAGGAGGCTGAGGCAGGAGGATCGCCATGAATTCAAGGCCAGCCTGGGTATACATTAAGTTCAACTGTGTAATGAGACCCAGTCTCAAAAAAAAAAGAAAAAAATTAAATCCTGGGGTGAGTGTCCTTATTTAAAGGGATATGAATTTTGTTTTCTTTGGCATTGTGATCCCGTCCTGTGTCATGGTTTCTCTGACAATGGCCTAAGATGGGAGATTCTGGGGTTACGTAATAGAATAAGAAGTATCTTGTGTCAGCTGGACTGATATGCCGGGCTCTTGGTGGCGGGTGTTTGGGACAGTTCTCAGGCACATACAAACCCATGGCTCTGAGGTAGGAGAGTCACAAGTTTGAGATCAGCCTGGGCAAAGTCATGAGACCCTGTCTCAGAAGGAGAGGGCTGGGGCTGTAGCTCAGTGGTAGAGCACACCTCGCTGCAGTCCCCCATCACAGCAAAAAATAGTCGAGGTTTCCGCTCCACTTCTGGAATTTTTCTTCTGACCATCCCGCCTTTTCCAGGTGAAAATCGTAGCAATGAATGAGGACGTCACCCTGCGATCCGCCCTGGATAAGAACCTGCGGAGCGCAGTTACTGCGGCCTTCCTCATGCTCCCCGAGAGCTTCTCCGAGGAAGAGCTGTTCGTGGAGATCGCTGGGCTGTCCTACGCGGGTGAGTGGAGCAACGCCCTCGGAGGCTCTGCCCGCGCCCTGCCCTCTCCGTGGTGGAGCTGTGGCATCTCTGATCGCCTCTCGTGAGCTTCCTGTGGGGACTTCGTGTTGGCTTTTTCTGGCCTGGTTGAGAGTAGCTGGCTCATACCGTGTCCCTCTGTGTGTTCTCTCACTCCACCATGGGACAGTGGCCGAATGGGCGATCGTCACACTGACCCAGGGTTTGAGTCAAGTTGGCAGTCCATGTCCCAGAGGCAGTTATCCCGATGATGTCCTTTGTGCCAGGTCAAGGACCCCATCCTGTGCTCAGCTGCTGTCTCCTGTGTCTCGTTCTGGTTCGGTGCTGGGCACAGAACGCAGGGCGGCACGCACGCTGCTCCTCGCCTCATCTGTCTTCCTCTGGAGCCCGTCCGCCTCCAAGCCTCATGGGCTGTGCACACTCCTGGAGGCAACAGCGGTGACACGGGCCCCTCCTCAGCAGTGTGTCCCCCTTCTGTACCAGCCGTCTGCATAAAGAGCACGCAGATGTCCTGCTTCCTCTCAGACTGTCCTGCCTGCTGCTGGTTCTGCTCACACCAGTCGTTACCATGATAGGTCCAAACCCACTGGGCCCCCTAGGAGAGAAGAGCTTTCCTTTCCGCCCATTCACTTGTATATTACTGATCCGAGTGTCAACTTCCTTTCCCTGTCAACTCGTGTGTTCTCAAAGCAGCAAGGGCCAGGGGGCCAGCAGGACAGAGCCCCAGGCCTTGCACCCTGCTGCCAGTAGAGGAGCAGCACGTCTCTGAGAGTGTAAGGCTCCACACAGATCTCGTCTGCAGGGCTGTGATGGGGCTCGGTGGTAGGGCGCTCGCCTAATGTGCAAGGTCTGGAGTTTGAGCCCAGCCCCGCACGTGTGGTGGTACACGCCTGTAGTCCCAGCACTCTGGAGGTGGGAGGAGCGCTGTGAGTTCAAGGCCAGCCTGGGCTACATAGTGAGTTCAAGGCCAGCCTGCACTACAAAGTGAGACCCTGTCTCAAGAAACAAAAACAAAAAAATAAAACAAACACACAGAAAAAGTACCCTTCTACTTAGGCAGAAAGAGTTTGAGGGCAAGGGTGTACCTCAGCAGTAGAACATTTGCTAGTTTGCGTAAGGCCTTGGGTCAATCCTCAGCACCGCAAAAGGGGTAGGGGGTAAAAACACTTTCTCAAATAAACTTTCCTAATTTAATATGAGTCAGAGAACCTCACCCTCTTCCCTCTCCTCTTCCTCCTCCATTATTTCCCATAATCATTGTTACCTTGCTGCTTGCTGGCTTCTAAGAGGTCTTTATAAATTACTATTATTTTGTTGGTGGTGGTTTCTTTGAGACAGGGTCTCACTGTGTAGTGCAGGCTGGTCCTGAGCTCACTGTGTGGCCCAGCTTGTCTTTATAAGTTCCGAACACTGGCTAAAAATTTTATCCAGTCATACACCTGTTTTCACCTACTTGGTTTTTTGGTGCTGGGGATCAAACCCAAGGCCTCACGGATGCTACACACATGCTCTGCCGTGGAGCGCACTCCAGCCCCACTTTTTCAGGGAGCCTTCGAGCGCTCCGAAGACGTAGCTGGTATTTGCTGGCACTGGACTAGGAAGGGTAGAGCAGGCCCAAGGCCCTCAGGTGGAATCTCCTGGGTATGAGACTTGCCTCCGGCCATGTGTTGAAAGGCAGGTTTTTCTCCTGTCTCCTCTAGGCTTCTGAGAATCCATTTTCCTTGAATGGATCCAATTCTATCCCTTTGGCAAACCACCCGAGTGTCTCAAGCCCTCAGAATGTTCCAAAAGTCAGGTGACCCTCGATCTCACCTGTGTTGACAACTCTGACAGTCTCCCCCTTGTCCCAGTTCGGGGATGACCTGTGGTCCTAACCTGGGAGGATCAGCACTTCTTCCAGAGGGAACAAGGGGGGGGCGGGAGACAGAGAAAACGGTGTCTCTCCCCATGTTACGGGACAAGTCCCTGCCCCTCGTGACCGGCAGAGGCAGGAGCCGTGACCTTTGCCAGTGTAATAACAGCCCCGTCCATTTCATGCGGCCCTTAGCGATCCCTTAGCTCCAGGGCCCCCATTTATGGCAGCATCACCCTAAGTGACGGGTGAGAAAGGGTGGTGGAGAAGCAGCTTGCACCGCTGGGAGGACAAGGCTTGCAGTCCTTGGCATTTAAGTCCAGAGAAGAGGAGCCCCACACCATGGTCAAGAGCCACTTTGAGCTTTCCTACAGGAGGCTGAACCAGTGGTGGTCAGGACCCGGGTTTAACAGTTACCTGATAAATCGGCTTCCCAGCCTCTGAGGCCGTGAAGGTGGCCTGTGCTCCGGGGAGCCCCGTGGTGGGGACACGTGCAGGCACAGGTGTCGGCGGTGCGCTCGGGACACGCGGGGAGCCGCGGCGGGTGGAGAAAGGCCGTTGTTGGCGGGGCTGTAGACCGTGGGTCAGCACAGGGCAGCCGGCTTGTACTGCTCGGTGCCCCATTGCTGCCCATACTTCCGGCGTCACTGCAACTTCATCCTCACGGTGGCCTTCTGGTTGGGTGCTGTGCTCCAGCCCCAGGTCACAGAGGAGAAATAGGCGACTTGGAGGAATAAAGCAGAGCTGCAAGAAGTTGCCATTGAGTGATTCTTGGGAAGAACTCAGCAGCAGGCACCAATGTCCTGGAGTGTAATTTGATTTAACATCCCTGACTAGATTTCAGTAAGAATCAGGAGAGAAACCAGATGGGGTGGTGAACGCCTGTCATCCCAGCACTCAGGAGGCTGAGGCAGGATGATTGCCACAAGTTCAAGGCCAACCTGGACTACACAGCGAGTCCCTGTGAGAGTCAAGAGAGAAACACTTGCTGTGAGGTGAGAGCCGTGGGGGCTCCTCCACCATGCTCAGGCTGTCCAAAGCCTCACAGGCAGTCTTGCTGGTGCTCTGGGATTCGGAACCTGCTTTTTTCCACCTAGGGGCACAAGCTTTGCTGAGGTTTTAGCTGCAACTGTGTCACCTCAGCGGTCACCTGCCCAATTCTGAGGACACGGCACTCCTGGAGGAGCGGTCATCACCCTGGGCCTAGCATCGTGGGTCTCATGCTGGGGTCAGGCACCACTCCATGTGCTGCGTGTCCAGGCCTGGAAAGCCGTGAGCTGGTTACGTGCTGGCCTCAGTCTGCACTTAGAACCCTGAAGCCCAGGGAGCTTGCCCTGCCTGCCCTGAGTGTCACTGGAATAAGGGGGTCTTGTCCTATGACTGTGCTCCTGAGCACCCTGTCTATGAAAGGTGGGTCTTTCCTGCTCATCCTTGTTCTCCTGGGACAGTTCCCCCCACCTTTACAGCTCAGTCCTGGCTCATACTGGGGTCAGTCCTGGGGTCTCACTGCCTCCCTACCACCCCGTCATCTCTCCCTGCCTTGGCTTCCTCCTTAGCCTTCTCCAGTCTGAACCCTTTGGAGTTTACTGGCCTGTCTTTGGTCCTTCTTCTACCATGGGATATGATGGCCGGTGTGTTTGTCTTGTTTTGGCCTCTCTGCCTGGTGCTTACCAATGTGCAGTGGCTATGATCGATCATGGATCCTTCCTGAGTCCTCATCCTGCTCTGTGTTCCCTATAGAAAACAAAGCCTAGTTCTGGTTCGAACCTCCAGGTCCGTTCTTCCCTTCCACACATGAGCCGGTGCAGTGCAGTGTTTTCCCCAGCTGTGGAGGTATTTTTGAGAACAAATTCTGGATGGCACATTACACTGCCTCCCTAGAAATACTGCTTTAGTCTCCCCTGCCCTTGTGTAGTGCTAGAGCCGAACCCAGGGCCTGACTTATTCTAGGGAGGCACTCTGCCACCGTGCTGCATTCCTAGCCCTCGGAGTATAATAGAGGGTGCCTCATACACATGCCTTACTTTTTTACTCTAATTTTTTACTTCAGCATAATAGTTGCCAATGGTGTGTCTCAGTATCTTTCCTTGAGGGATACAGGAAGCAATCTTTGTGTTTACCCACATTACCACAACAAAAAGCATGGTGTGTGCATAAGTGTCAAACCAGAGTTTATAGCTACATTATACTGCATGGAACTTTTTGTTTGCATATGTATACTGAGCATCACAGAGGGTATAATACACCCACACTACTCCAGAATTTGTTTTTTTTAAAAAGTTTTCTTTCAATTTTTCCAGTAGAAGTAGCCCAGTTCAGTACAATGGCACATGAAAAGCAGATTTGCAAGTTTTAGAGGCAGTCAAAAGTGAATCATCATCAAGCCAGGTTGTGGTGGCACACACCTATAATCCCAGCACTTGGGAGGCTGAGCCAGGAGGATCCTAATGAGTTCAAGGCTAGCCTGGGCTGCAAAGTGAGTTCAAGGTCAGCCTGAACTGCATAGTGAAACTTGGTCTCAAAAAGACATTAAAAAAAATCATATTATTCATGCATGGATGATGAAGATAATCCATTATGGTAAAATACATGCTTTCGTAGCAGAAGTGTAGTGTGGGTGGATGATGACTTTGATGTTGGCTGTGTGAGCCAAAGTTCCTGTGACAGTGGAGTGGAGTAAGAATTAGCAAGAATTGACTGATACAGACAGAAGAAATGCAGACCTTCTTGACCCAGATGATGAAGAAAACAGCAATATGAGTACGTATTTGACTAGTCAAAATGTTGCAAAATGGTCACTGAACCAAATGGAAGGATCCAATGTTAAAACCAGGTCTGAAAATACAGTGAGCATCTTGGCAAGGATGAATGGTATTGATCAGAATACCAGCACTGCCACTTAATGTTGGAAATTGTAAGAGATGAAATGCTACAAGATGCTATGAGAGACACAAAGGCTGAGATACAAGTAAAACATTCTGTGCGCACCAATATCCATATTCAAACCTATATTTATTATGACACCTCACTGGCTGAAATGAAAGCATTTGTGTCTGCTGTACTGAGCAGGGATTTCTCATGGTAATCACAGGCGTGTAAAAGACTTATGGGAGAGCAGTGGATCAAAATA